AATGGCTGGGACGTTACTTCTCAGTGATATGGTCAATAATGCCATCAGAAAAGGCGAAACAAGCATAATTCGATAAACATCTTCCACAACACTTCTTCGCGAAATTGCACCCATCCACAGGCAGCGAACAGGGCTCACCCAAGGAGACTAAGTAGGCCTCACATAGATTGTGCAGATAAATATCTTGCACGGTCATCATATACACATCATCATACATACCAGAACGTGAAAGAGCCCGCGAATAGCCACTTTACCCAGCAGGAATCCGCTGTTTTGGCCGAGTGTTGCAGTCACAGTAATTTGATGTTTTTCCATTCACCTTTTGATGCGTTGACCTCGAAAGTGCTGTTTGTTACTTCATCTATGAAGTGTACAGCAGCGAATTGGTGGCAGTCTATAAACTCGCCTACGCATGAGTCATGGTGCAGCGATGAAGATGAAAACGCACTCCCCTTGAACTCTGGTGTACGTAACCTTGTCTCCACTCCTCCTGAAACTGGTCACATGTATGATTATCGAATTGGAGGTCTCGTTTCTTAGGCCAACAGTTTCACAAAACTTAATATATGGAACGTACCATTCCTTGCGTGGTACCATAACTCTACAAGCGGACGACTGTGTTCTAATTATAACTTATCCCACCAACTGCACTTGTCCAGGTTGCTGTGTTTGCACCATTTTATATGCAGCTCATCCGCGCCCCCTGAATGCGTGGATACATTTTAGTTCGAATCAAAACCAAGAGCACGACAACGAAAGATGAGTTGGGCATTCTACTATTTCATAGATTTTTCACCTTTAACTTGACCTAACCAATCCTTAAGATGCTCTGTTATTTTTCATATCTACCTACTGTCGGGCGCAGTAGCACTGCGTTGATAGTATCTGACCTCAAAACAGCTCAAACGCATATTTACCGCAGTCACTGGCAATCCTTTTCTCAGTAGCAACTAGGGGACTTGGAGAAAAGGTGAAGAGCCTCGAGTCCTGGCTCATCACTTGAGTCGAACAGCCGCTTATATCAATACTAAGATACACGAATCTCCGATCCAGAGTACTGCAGACGTGATGAATATTCAAGGAACGCTCATTGTTGTGAACGCCAATCTAGAACACTGTAACGGCAGCAAACCACAGTCCCTCTTTTTGCTCAGGGAGTGAACAACTTACGTCGACACATAGGGGATTTAACTGATGACCCTGCCCTAACATCAATTACAGAGACCAATCAGCAAAATTCTGACTGGATCTGCTTGAATTCAAGGCCCTTTGCTGCCAGCTACCGCCTAAACTTCTAATCCTATGAGCGACATCTTTAAGCGTCTTTTCAGTTAGGCGGAGGGACTCAGAGATAAGATGGTGGAAGTAAAAATATTCATTCTTAAATATATACGTACACTTTTAAAAATATGAATAAGTTGCCGTGTGAATCACGTGTACCTTTATGGTAGGTAATCTCAGTCAACACGTATTCTGTCATTAGAAGATATAGGTACTGCATGTTTATGTAACGGAACATCTCGGCAGGATGAGTATGCAAACATTTACAGGTTGGACAGCTGGGAGTATTGTCTTGGCATTAACGAAAATTCAGGGTCTGTCTGGACATCACATGCATTAAGTGCAGAAAAATGAAGCTTGAATCTAGTACTTGCATTGTAGCACATCTTACTTTTTGCTTAGGATAATGATGAAATGTTCACAAATGAATATATACACAAGTTGTTTATCTGTTGTGCCTCAACGATGATTCTATAACTGTATAATTCATATATGATAGTGTCATTTCACATAAAAGATTCATAATCTTGCTGAATATTATGGTTAAAAGCTAAGTGTCTGTATTTTTCAACTCCAGCATTTAGAAGCAATAGTTTTGTTCGAACTGGTCAAATGGACTTCCGCTATTTTCATGAGTCATGACAGCCTTATGGTCAGTGAGGCTTTCCTGGTCACTTTCAAAATGAATAAATCTTAGGTTTTGATAATTATGAAGTTGTGGTGCAGTGAATACTCTTTGTTTCTGTTTGTTGCAGTTCGGTGTTGTGAAAGAAGTAACACTGGGTGCCCTCCACAGAGGGCAGTTTCAATGGCAGTTTTGACGGCAGCCAAGCCAAAATTCAGAACCGAATTGCCTTTCTACAACGGGAAGAAACCAAAAGCGGACCGCGTACGCTAAGTCCGTGGAAGGCAGTCACATCAAAGTGCATATGTGGCCCCTTGGAATGGGTGCAAAATCAAGGTGTGGTACATAGATGACTGTCGTAAAACCTTGTTCAGAGAAGTGAGGCGATCAACAGGTACGTACTGGACCAGGGTGAAGAAAACATCTACTGGCAAAGAAGCATGAATTATAAGACTCCTGAGTGGTGGGAACCTCCCTAGACTAAGAACGGTCCCATTTCTGACAAACACTAGTGACTCCCAAAGTGATGAAGACCGACAGACAGCAGCGCTTGGGAATACTTGGTTAAAAAGGGAGAGGTAAGTGACACCCAACCTGGCTTTCGAAGGGGCAGATCCAGTGCCTCAGGGCTTTTCTAGAAGCATGTACAACTAGACGGTATGCCGGGACCTTCAGATCTCTATTGGTGATGTTCACTGGATCCCGCCTAAACCACAAACAGATCCCCACATGCTATTCATTTATGCAAAATAGTGGGGTTGAGCATTAGTAGCAAGGTGCTATCCTGACTGGTGGACCAGCTAAACATTGGGGAGTTCCGCGAAAAGGTTGGCAGGGTTTTTTGAGAACGAGAGGCATCACAACACGTCGTGTCTGAAACACCAACCCCGGTCTATCCCCATTCTCTCCCACTGGGGTCTCGGCTCCCTGTGTCTACTTTACGCTGATACAATTAGGCTGCACAGGACTAAAACACCTGTAAGGGAATCCAGGCCACTACAAGGCTACTACAGGATGTTGAATACATGAATGATAAAATAGACTGGCTCTTTGTCCGGTTTATTACTGAATCAGGTTTTTCTGCACTTTGGGCTCACAGATGTCGTGCTTCCGGCGCCATACCTTTTGTGTAGAAAACCAGGTGCCTTCGTCCCGAAACCATGCCGCAACTTTAAACTGCCTACACTTAATCTCACTTAGAGCCCCACAACGGACCTGTCAACAACTTCAGTGAAAGTTTGGACAGATACGCCGCTGCACGGTGTGCTGTCATCCGGTTGAGATATTCATTAGTCCGAAACGACAAAACAACGCCTCAATCTAACAGTATTGCTTCAGTGATTTCCTCTCGTTGCCACTATTATGCCGAACGAGAAGTAACTTAATGCCTCCCTATAAGATGCGTTATGAGTCCACTCACTAGTTTACCACAGATATCATCATTGTTCCCATTTTGATTATCTCTACCATGACCCACAACTCTCCTTTCCCTCCCTCTTATACTGCGACCCCACTATAATCACTGATGTTCACCATACCACTGTTTTCCTTCCCATCCTCCGTAAATTTACGGAGACTTTTTGGTTCTTTACATTCTGCATGCTTTTTTGTCGTTCTCACTCTCGTTACTGCACATTTCTTGCTCATCTTTTCATTCTGTTTGACTTTCTCTAACCAGCCAGTAGAGCAACTGCCTGGCTATCTGACACTTAAGTGATGCATCTGCACCACATTGCCAGGATAAATAACGCATTGTTCTACTGACTTAGTCAATACCCAGCCACCCACTGAGATTACTGAAGTTACGGTAGAAAAATGGGTGAATTCGAGGTTTCGAAATCTAGCAGAGACACACAACCAATCCCCAAGACTTAGAGGCAAGCACGAAGACACAGTCTGGTTCTTGCATGCTAGTAAGACACATACGAGATAGAGGGAGAGTAAAATGCCCCTCAGGCCTCCCAGGACTCAAGCCTGGAATCTCCCAATTCGTGGTCAGTTACGTTATTCGTTGCGTAACGGGTTTATAACTTTGAAATAACTGCAAGTAAGTGAGATGAAGTAGGTGCAATTAGCATTCAAGTTACTTAATTTGGCAGCCCATACATCCTAGCATGAGGATTTGAACTATTCCGCCAAATAGAGAGAAGAAAAGACTTCACAACCAGCCAAATTATTTCACGGTACGTGGGATAAACAGAAGAAAGTAATGAGGAGTACCTGCCTATTACAGGTATTGGAACCGTCATTCACCACATACACTCCATGTCAAGGTCGTCCGGCATGTTCAAAATAAACCCCAGGCTAATTTAAAGGTCACTCACATTTTTGTACTCATTCTGTATTGATACTTTCGCTGGATATACCTGTCTATCCCGTAGTTATCTAAGAAGTTGAGGTTGGTGAGGGAGGCATTAGAGTTGTAACTGGACCTGCCCGCATGAATTAATTTGCACCTAGCCTATGAGTACTACGTTAATAAAATAATCTTCTAAAACCAGAAACTATACCATTTGGTTTCACTTTTTCTTTTGAATAATTCCCACCGAAGGCTGACAATCATTTTATTCCATAGTAGTATACATCTGACCACATCACAGTCACACAGTGTTGAAAAAGCTCAGAATCTGGAGAGCTTAGATGGAATTTTGTTTTAAGTTGTATATTCTGCATTCCCGCACTGTAGAAAGAAATGGTCAACCCAATTTTTATGCTCCCCAAAGGTCTTTGAATTAACTTGCATCGTGATACTCTACAGTATCTGCATGCAGTTACCTACCACCCTATCTTACTTATGGTGATGTGGGGCTGCACATAGGTTAGGTTCTCCTTCGTGAAGTGCGTCCAGTTGTCAGTGACTGAATACTGGGTACCTCTCCGCTACTAGAGACCTTGCCTGTTTTTCCGTCTGCGTCCGTTAAAATTAGTTCCGGCCCCTTGGAATGAAAGTCTACTGAAATAAGGGGATAGTATGAACTTGGGAAGAGACCAGAAGAATCTGCGTGAATGCACTGGCATATCTCACTAGATGTAGACCCTGAATTCCATACCATATTTGAAGACGAAGATTAAAATCGTTCACTTACCTACTCACAGTGACGGCGTTAACTTCAAATCATCAACATTCCATCCGTGCTGATTAGTTGTCATTTACAGCTCCTCAAGTACAGAATGAAGATTCTCCAATTCAAAGCAGCCATTCCGTTAAAACAGAGGAATATATGAAGGCGAAGTCTTATCTCCCCTCTTCGTCTTTAGAACTCAAAGAACTTTACTTCAACATTTATGTAATGTTGCCAAAATATCTTCACTTCATTGTTATTCCGAACACCGTCGATTCAGTAGCACCGGACAGTGAAAGTTGGAGGTAATGTGAAGTATAAACTGGGATGTTGTGTTAACAACCACCCAATATACTGGAGACCGCAGGAAGGAGGTAGATTTTTTCATGTTGGGACAAATAAACGACGGTTAATTTGTAGGGTTAGTGTTAATCATATTAACGAAATCTCTTCTACAATCGCGGGTAATTAGCTGAAATCATTAACAGAAAAAGTTTAGTATACTTGCATTTATAAAGCCATGCATACCAAATTTTTTGGAACGTTAGATTCTGTGGTCACGGATCTTCATCATCAACACAAAATACAATCACGCAGGGAAGCGAAATTAGATACACAAAGTACTTAAACAAAACAAATAAACGAAATATCTGACTACAGTGGGACAGAAATGCTCAACAAAAGTGATGGAGCCGACAAGTGAGATATGAATTTAAAAGTTGGGACGTAAGAGCTTGAAAATAAAATGAGATGGGGGGATGGCCACCATATTTGAGGGTGTGGTGTAATCTAATCCGATCTCATTCAGATTCAGATTTGTTGTTTGAGGTTAAGAAGCTGGGAGGCTATGCTGATCCATTTCCAATAGATTTCTGTGCTTGTCTTATCCCCTTCTGAACGAGCCAATCGATGATACGGATACCACTTCTTCTGGGAGTCGGTTCCAGGTGTTGATTACTTGACGCGAGAACTAGTACTCTGCGGAAACTACGTTCGTTCTTTGCTTTTGTAGTCTGCTACTATGTCCCCTGAGGTGATCCGACCTAGTGGGAAGAAAAAGAGTAGTTAGAGCTGGTCCAAAACCATTTCCTAGAATCCTGTAGAGCATGATAAGGTCCCCCCTCTGTCTGTGATAGGACAAAGTGAAGAGGTTTAGCCCCTTAAGTCGGTCTTCATAGGCGAGGCCAGCCATCGCAGGAATCATACGAGTGGCTGCCATCTGAACACTTTCCAGAAGGTCTGCGTCACCTTTCAGACAAAGATTTGCCGCCCGTGTAGAGTTTTCGAATTTAGATCTAACTAAGGATGTGCGTAAGATGGTGAACATGTCGTCACTTGTTTTCTTAAACGCTCTACGTAATGCCCAGAGAGTCCTAAAACTCTGAGCCCTATCAATCAGCGGTGAGCCGTGGTTTTCAAGTCATAACTCAATGTGACTTCCAAGCCACTGTGGGTCAGTACTGAAGGTGAAGGGGTCCCATCAGTATCATAGGTGTTGCTGTATGTGTGCCCCAGGCTGATGCTCACACATTTGCCTGCGCTGGTAGACATTAGGAACTCCTCTGACCAGGTAAACAAGCTTTTTAGGTCTGCCCGAAGCGCACGTATATCCCCATCGTCCCTAATTTCACGCCAGAGTTTCACATCACCAGCGTAGAGAGCTATGGGGAATTTCGGGATATTTGGCAGCTCATTTACGTACAGTAGAAACAGCACGAGGCCCTAGACTGTGGCTTGCGGCACTCCATTCTCTACCAACTTTCATGCGGAGAGTTGACAATCGATCCTAACTCGTTGTCACCTACAAACAAGAAAGTCTCTTATCCATGCGAGCAGACTGCCGGTGATTCCAGGGCTTCCCAGTTTCCCGAGCAGCCTGGAATGAGGTACTTTGTCGAACGCTTTACTAAAGTCAGTGAAAATGACATCTACAGGTATCCTATCATCTTTAGACTTAACCTAACTTTCCTTGTCTGTGAGGTTCGTCAAGCAGCAGAAATTTCCACGAAAACCGTGCTGTGAACGGGACAGCAGTGTTGCTCTCCAGTTGGACTGTTATGGCTTTCTTGATTACTCTCTATGGGATTTCTGCCACAGTACTAGTCAAACTAATCGGTCTGGAATTTGATGGGAGCTGGCTAGAACTTTAGGATTTGTCCTGGTGCGAACTCGACAGACGCAAAGACCGATCACTAATTATTCGGACTTGTTATATACCCAGGAATACGAGACCAAGGAAGAACACGATAGCGTAGTCGGATGGAATAGTATATTTGGATGGTTGTACCGAAATACTGATGCGTTCCAACTAACTGGCTAGAGAGTCGAATACGAGCAGTGCAACGTAACACGACAGCGTGCCAGGTGGCGAAGATGCTTGACCGGGTGCCTTCAGCTTAGCGAGTCCAGTTAAACTATCAAGGTCAGCATCAATGTCGAAAGTTGTCAAACCCTAGGCTATTGATTTTGGGGAAGTGTGTAACGCTACAGAGGCCCCTAAGACGATACCAGCCGGAAGTAAAAACCCAGTTGTTTCTCCACCGGTAAAACTCTTCCGATGGGCTCACTGCGTGAGGTGGCCCCTGGTTGTCTGAACTTATTCTAGGGTGTCGTGGCAATTAAATAAATAAAATACAATAAATCGAATTGGACGTCGATCGCGGTATTCAGTTCCTTTAGACGTTCCGTCCAGTGCTCGTTGCACCTGGAATATAAATAAAAGTCTCTGAGACCACGAAAACGTTTCGTAAAAATGAGAATTATTTATATATAAAGATATCGAAAAATAAAAATTTACGCCTATTTTCACCTTCTTTAAAAAAAGTTTCATTATATGGCAATTTGGGCTAGAAAAGAGCCCAAGGAGCTTTCCGTGTGTCACGTGACTTTACACTTTTGACAAGCTAAGCACGACTGAGCCCACTCCTTAACGTCTTTGTTCATCCCAGGCCAGCAGAAACGTTGTGCGATAAGCCTAATGGTGGCTCGTACACCTGGATGAGAGAGTTTGTGCAACGTATTGAAGACGTTGCGTCGACAACTCTTCGGAACTATTGGGCGTGGTTGACTAGCAGAGACATCGCACAAAATTGTATCCTTGTCTGATCCAACAGGACAAAGTCGCAGTTTGAGAGTTGTGGACGACAACTCATGATGCAGCTCAAGGTCTTCCTTTTGACGCCGAGCTAGTTCAACGAGATCAACCCCTCGATATAGTTTATCGAAGCTATTCGAGATAGTGCGTCGGCTGCGGAGTTGTTTGCTCCAGAAATGTGGCGGATGTCTGACGTGAACTGGGAAATGTAATCCAGCTGTCGCGACTCACGAGGGGAGTATTTGTCAGACGCCGAGCTGAGGGAAAACGTTAACGGTTTGTGGTCTGTGAAAATAATGAAATCACGACCTTCCACAGAATGTCGAAAATGGCGTACAGAACAGTACATGGCTAGGAGTTCCCTACCAAATGTACTGTATCTTGTTTCCGCGTCTTGCAGCCGCCTCGAGAAAAAGGCTAACGGTTGCCACTGGTTGTCAGTCAACTGTTGCAAAACTGCTCCAATTGCTGAATCAGATGCATCAACAGCAATACTCAGAGGAGCATTGGGGTCATGATGCATAAGCATGGTTGCGTTCGAAATGGCTTCCTTGACTTTAGAGAAAGCAAGTCTAGCCGCGTTGTCCAGAGACACGAACTTCGCAGTTCCTCGAAGTAGATCTGTGAGTGGTCTCATGACAGAGGCACAGTTAGGGATAAACCTTCGGTAATAACTTACCAGGCCATTGAAAGTGCGGAGATGTTTCACAGTGGTCGGCTCTGGATAGTTTGTGATAGCCGCCACTTTATCTCTCAATGGGCGTATACCTTTGTTGTCAATGGTATGCCCAAGGAAGCTGAGTGATTCAACTCCTATTTCACACTTCTGTAAGTTGACTGTGATGCCATGTTTTTTAGTCTTTCGAATGCGAGGTCCAAATGTTTAAGGTGAGTTTCCTTATCTGGACTCGCAATTAGACAGTCATCGATGTAGACATGAACAAAATTCAAACCACGGAAGACATCGTCCATAAAGCGTTGGAATGTTTGTGCTGCATTCCGAAGACCAAATGGCATGCGCAGGAATTCAAACAGGCCAAAAGGAGTAATAATGGCTGTTTTCGCGATATCTTCTGCTGCCATAGGTATCTGGTTGTACGCTTTGACCAAGTCGATTTTGGAGAAAATGTTCATTCCGCATAAGGTTGCGGTCAAGTCGTAAACGTGAGGTATCGGGTAGCAGTCCGGAGTTGTTTTGGCGTTAAGCCTTCGGTAATCACCGGTTGGACGCCAGTCGTTGCTATCCTTTTTGGGAACCATGTGCAATGGCGATGCCCAAGGACTGTTTGACGGTCTGATAATGCCCAGTTCGAGCATGTGGTCGAATTCATTTTTCGCCGTTTGGCTTATCGGGGGCTAAACGGCGCGCTTTGGATGCCACAGGTGGACCTGTGGTTGTGACGTGATGCATAACATTGCTGGTTATGCACGGAAGAGTGTGCTTCGGTTGCTGTAACTCTGGATATTTCTCCAGAACTGCCTGGTAGGACGCGTCGCCTGATTGTTTAGTCCTAACGATGGCTAAACTCGGACCTACATAGGTGGTGCCGCCAATAGATAACTTTGTGTTGTTATCTATCAGTCGTCGACGGCGAGCATCTACGAGCAAATCTATGCCAATGATGGGCATAGAGACGTCAGCAAGGAGGAAGATCCAGTGAATAGGTTTGCGTAAACCTAAGTTGAGGTAGGCATACCGTCTCCCGAATGTCGCGATTGCCTTGCCGTTGGCTGCTTGAAGATTGAAGGATGGGTCAAGATGACGCTCCTTTGTCGTTGCTGGAAGAACGCTAACTTCTGCGCCGGTGTCGACGAGGTAGCGGACTTTCGTTTTAATGTCGGTGACGTAGAGCAAACGGCTTTTTCCGCCGGCTACGGTTGCCGTGAGCACGTGCCGGCGTGACCGTTTCCCGAGTTTGTCCTTCTTAAAACGGCATGGTTTACGACATTTTCTGGCTTCATCCCCGTAAGTGTTATGAAACCAGCACCATTCA